AATATCAAGTGATCAACAGTTAGGGCACCAAATGTGTATACAGGAAGCTTTTCGGTACTAACAGTAATAACCTGAATATATGTAAGTGCACATGTATATTACAAATAGCCTTTTATTTAACATAGAAGGAATATGGTTAGCAGTGTAATTAAGGATATAAATTTCGTCCTGTTTGAGACTTTTCAACAAGATTCACTTACATCTTAGGGTTGATGTTCGACTACAAGATCCGAACTTAGTGCTTTTCGCCTCAGACAAAAACTTGTCATTCACTCAGCTGATTCCAGCAATTTATTTGCTCGTGCAAACGGTATGAAGTTCAATTTAATTCGTAATGGTTTTGATATTTCTGACTAGTCCTGATTGGTATATGTGCATCCTGTGCAGATTACCTTTTATTTATTTTATTTTATTATAAAGTGGTCAGAATTGAAATAAACACTCGCACTTTATTGGACATACATGACATTCATATCAAGTCAAATGAAAAGTATAATTTGCCTACTTTATTCCATATAACTGAATATATACTCAACAATCGGGAATCAACAAATTTTTAATCAATGAGATTCAGTATGTGACTAACAATGTTAGCATTTTTCACAAAATTTCGAACTGAATATGATTTCTATGCTCGTTTGTCTAATCTTAATCAGTATTAGGAAAACTAAATTACTGTATTGAAATAAAAGAGAACTTGGAATAAATTATTACACCGAACTTATAATACGCAGAAATATGAGTTCATCGGATTTCTGTGATGACTTTCATTTAGCTTAAATAGAGTAGGAAATATTGTCCAATAGACCACTTTATAGTAATCTTGATCAATTTAGCCAATACTTATCAATATGAAATAGTCTCAGTAAACGCATCAAAGAATCATCTTCCTTTCAACAATGTTTCGGAAGAAATTGTGAAACTCATGTTCTGTAAAAGAAGCACTTCAGGTTTGGTTGCGTACAGTGATAGATAATATTGGAATTGTTCATTGGAGAATGTCAATACAGGTTAGAATTGTTTGAAACAAGATTAAGATGGTGGTGGTGTTTTGTTCTCTGAGCTGGTTGTTTTGGTTGTGGAGCTTTCATTGTTCTTCTGAACAACATCATCAGCACGAACTTCAGATAGAAGTGAAGCATTAGAATTTCTCCACGTTTGACCTGTAGCTTGTTCTGCTAACCTCGATCTTGATTGGTTGTTGTTGACCTTTGACCTGTCGTTGTTTGCAGCTATGTTTTGATTGCCTCCCTCTTTTGATCTGTTTCTTGATCTAGTGTTACCTATGATTTTCCTGATTGGTTGATAAATTGGGTCAATGTCGATGTGTTTGTTGATTGCTAATTGACCTGAGTGCCAAGCTTCTAAAAATTCTCTAGTGTTCTTTGTCCTCCCCGTACCTAGTATTTCCACGTTGTTCCAATCGAATGTGTGTCCGTAATTGTCGGTGTGTATTGATATAAGCGAAGCGTTGTCGTGGCGTTTGACTGCTAATTGATGTTCACGTAAACGGAGCTGAAGAGGTCGTCCACTTTGTCCTATGTAGTGTTTTTCACAATTTGAGCAATTTATTTTGTAGATTATATTTGGTTTTTCTTCCTTTGTCATTTTGTCCTTTGGTCTACATAGGATTGACTGAAGTGATTCCGTTGGTTTGTGTGCCACACCTATTCCAAATGGTTTCAGTAGTCGTGCCGTATGCTCTGATATGTCTTTGATGTATGGTAGGATGATGCGTTTATTTGTTCCTGTGCTTGAATTCACTCCTGATGATAGTTTTGGTTGATGTTTTTTGATGAAGTTGCGTGGATAGCCGTTCTTTTGGAAGATAGTCATCAGATGTTTTTCCTCGTTTTTTAATGTTTCGTATGTGCTGCAGTGTGTCTTCGCTCTCTTGAACAGAGTTTGTATGCAGTTAATCTTGTGGGTTCTTGGGTTGTTGCTGTCGTAGTTGAGAATTACGTCGGTGTGGGTTGGCTTCCGAAATACTTGAGTTTCTAGTTTTCCTGTGTTAGTTCTGGTGATTAGTACATCCAGGAATGATAGGTTGTTGTTTGATTCCTTCTCCATCGTGAATTTAATGTCATCGAAGACGTTGTTGATCTGATTGTAGATGTTCTCCAGCTCATTCCTTTTGATAATAACGAATGTGTCGTCTACATAGCGAACCCACATTTTTGGCCTGATCACTGGCAGAATCGACGCTTCCAGTCTCTGCATTACCGCTTCGGCGATGAGTCCTGATATTGGTGTTCCTTTTATTTGTTCGTAGACTCTGTTGTTGAACCGAAGATATGTTGTTTAGCATAGGTCGATGAGTTCAAGCAAACTTTGACTCTGAAGCTTTGTATATTTGTGTAGATTTGTGTCGTTGGTGAGGAGCAGAGAAAGAGTTTCTTTGGCTAAGCTTGGTTCTATTGAGGTAAATAAGGCTGTTACGTCGAAGGATATCATCATTTCGTCGTTGTCAATTTGAATCCTCTTGAGTTTATCCAAGAATTCTGTGGCAGCCTTAATGGAGTAGTTGGATTCATCCACCAGATGTTTTAATATCCTTGAGATCTCTCTTGATAACTTCTTATCAAAAATGTAGCTTAGGGTTTAAAAAACTTTAATCAAAATGGTTGAATATGCCAAAATATCTTCACAAAGGACAATTTTATACAACTGAAACTCTGATTCGATCGCAGTAGCTATTAATTAAAATGAAGTTTTGATAAACTATTGTTTTTCAACTTATTACTATCTGATACCACAAGCTGAACATGATTCTTAAAGTTAGAAACTATTGTAAACACTTTTTGAATAATCGATTGTCTCATAACTTGTGAGTACGAAAAATCCAAATCACATTTTTTAGAATTAATGGTTTTATTCAAAATAATTACAGAAATACATAAAATCAATGAGCTATTCACGTGTTTTCTTAAAAGATTTCGGCATCCAAAAAAGATAATAGAAAGCATACTACGTTATCAAATATATATGGTAAAGAAAACTGACTGGAACAAGATGAAACAACATGCAGCTACAACCAGGGTCGATCATTATGGTACATACACTATTAAGAAGATTGTGTGTTCGAACTACATTTGTGGGTCCTAGTGTTGATTTGGGCTTATTTCAGTGAAGCATATTATGTGTATTAGATTCAAATAATGTTACCAATATGTTACTTCGGTAATTGGTTGTACAGATGCAGTTAATTTGAAATAGTCATTGAAAACCATTTTATGAAATAGCGTCAAGGGTGTTACGTAACGTTAAGACTATTGTCTAACTAAAAACGTAATCCTTTGATATATACAATGGAAAATAATTATTAAAAAACGAAGACTAGAATCTGTGTTATTACTTAAGCATGATTGGACAAGGTTTTAGCTGTTTGATTTGTAAACCTACTTATATAGAATAGATGTAGTTTGATTAGCAGTAGAATCCAGGACGCACGTTCCGTTCTATGAGGGACACTTCAGCTCGAATGTACCTGTGACTCTCAGAGTCGATATCCGGGATTCGAACCCAATATTTATCTTCAACAACTTTCCTAAAGAAATTTGGACCAATTTACTGGGAGATGTTGAATTATTAAAGCAATTAATTTTTTCTGTATTCTTGGTGATCGGTTACTGTCAAAATTTTTACCCGTGTCAAACATCATTCTACCGTATTTCATAAAAGCTTTAAATTTATCATACAAACTAGTTTTGATAGTCAAAGTCCAACTGGTGAAACTAGTTTTGGAATTAAATGGATGCAAAAATAATAAATTTTAAGTTATGGTCAAATTAATCTTACATTGGTTTATAATTGTTTGTAATAATTGTGTAGAAATTGATATGCAAGATTTTTTTTGCTACTTAACCAATGAAGTTATCAATACAAATAAGCTTCCACGATTCGGTTAATTAATCTATTTTTCAAACAACTATAATTACTAGGCGACAGAATCTAGTCACCTCAATTAACAAGACAAGATTGCAATGTATATACTTGCAAATGATATATATATATATATATGAACGTATTTTAAGAACATTATCTTTGGAATGCTTTTTAGACTTTGAATATTTAGATTCAATGTAAATACGACCCAAAAACATGAAAAAAATACTTTAAATTCAAAGAACTTGAGCAGAAAGACACATTAGGTAGAAATCGTATTTTTGAAAATATCAAGCAACTCAATGAAAAAGTGAATCTATTTCACAAAATAATGTTAAACCTTATGCTCAGTAGTATGAAATGACTGAAAGTTGTTCAGAATGGCTATAATGAGTAATAGCTTACTGATTATATGGTCAACAAATAACAAAGTTAGCAGCGGTGTACCAATCCACCTTTGTTAAACAGTGAACTGAGGATATATGTTTCCCTCATTTCGAAGAATATCAAGTATTCATTTGCCAACATATTCGTGGGTTCATAGAACTCCAGTACAATGAACTTCATACAATCCATATATATATATATATATATATATATATATATATATATATATATCATCAGTGAAACGGATATACTATGTTACTAAATACTTGTTAATACAAAGTGTATCACAGAAATCAAGATCCAATTAGTGCTACACAGCCATTAGAAACCTGGAAGCACACAGTGGTGCGCACTCGCGACCCTAAGAGCGGAAATCGAACCTAGGGCCTTTGGTCTCGCGCGCAAGCGCCTAACCCCGTAAATACTGAGCCAGCATTTGACAGCGTTACAATCTAACTTCAATAAGAAACGTTATTGTAAATCTGAAGTACGTGAATTATATCTGAATGGATAAAGGTTGAATGAGGATTGGATTGAGAATATCAGAGACGATTGTGATGTAGATCAATTTTATCAGTAGATCGGAAATTCCACGTATTCTCTACCCTAATCTCTAGTAGAAATTTTAACATCGTTAGATAAATAGTTCTATCTAGTTATCTGTAATAAGAGCTGATATATCAACAGAGATTAGTAGATGTAGTCAAAGATAACAGGAATAATAAATATGAAATCAGAATAGCAAGTAATTAAAACAATTTATTTCCCTGCTTATTTTCAAGATTAGTCAACTAAGCAAAAATGGATAGAAAAATCAACACTACAAATTGGCAAAAAGTACAGTTTAATTCAAATCTCGTTGATTCAGTGAACTAGTAAATAAACAAAGAAGTAAATAGAAAGAGACAGTAACAAAGAATAGACAAATAAGAGTATATTGAACAATGAATTATTTAAAGCAGAAAAACCTTTTTTTTCTTCTTTTAAGTTGACAAAGAAGCAAAATAAACAAACTACAACGTCAGTTTAATCCACACGAGGAAGGAAACCATTTTTTTCCGGTTCATAGAAGTCTTCAATCATTTTATCCACAAGTTCTTGAAGTTCTTTTGTTAAAGATTCCACAGAGGCTCTGGAATTGATTTTTAATGCGAAAAATAGGAACGAACAAACAAACATAATTAGTATAGCAATGTAATTTATATTAGATTCATTAGAAATTCTTTCTAATAACATTTCTTAGTTTATACTAAATTTTAATTGGGATTCAGCACGAACTAACATTAGTTGTGAGGTATCATTGATGAAAATATCTACTAAAATTAATTCATAACAACTATCATCTACAAATTAAAACAAATTTTCACAAAACCTCTTGAATCAAAACATTAAATATTTTATTTATACGAATATTTCTCAATATTTGAACGAATAGTCGGACAAAAAATAGGTGCAAAGAAGAAGACATGTTTTGTGAAAATGATATTTGAGCAATCTTAGCGATTGAAATGTAAGATAATTCCAACATTTCGTCTAGTTGTCTTGTCTGCACTTCAAGTTAATAATGATTAAAATTATCAAAGAATATATAACAGTTAATAATTAAATCAAGTTGACACTATATGTTTATCCAATCATTTTCAGATGTTAACTTTAGTACATAGGAGAACCTAAGTCAACTGAGATGTGGAACATGTGAAAAGTTCACAAAATGAAAAATAGGTGAACTTTTCACATGTTCCACATCTCAGTTGACTTAGGTTCTCCTATGTACTAAAGTTAACATCTGAAAATGATTGGATAAACATATAGTGTCAACTTGATTTAATTATTAACTGTTATATATTCTTTGATAATTTTAATCATTATTAACTTGAAGTGCAGACAAGACAACTAGACGAAATGTTGGAATTATCTAACATTTCACATATGATTTTCAAAAATATTAAAGGTTGATCATTTTCATTCAAGAGGAATCATTAACAAGCAGTTTAATAAAATTAAATTATTGATTATAATCTTGATTAGTTGACCTTAATTAATAGTGATCTATCTACCCGATTGACTAAATCAAAAGTAAATAAAACAGAATTCGTGTGTCTGTAATCTAGTACTTTAGAAAGCAAAATATTTCAACCAGTTATCAAATAATAAATGATTGCTACACATCAGTTGTTTAATTACGGATTTGAAAACAAAGAACAGAATTTCTACAATTGAAAAACATCTGGAACTCAAAACAACTATCGACAAACACCAAAGTCACATTTTCAATACAAACGTCGAAACAGTACTACTGTATCGGGCGGAAACTTGGAGAACTACGAAAGCCATCACCCAGAAGATGCAAGTGTTTATCAACAGTTGTCTATGCAAAATACTGAGGATCTGTTGGCCAAACACCATCAGCAACAATCTACTGTGTAATAGAACAAACCAGACTCCAGTGGAGAAAGAAATCAGGAAGAAGCGCTGGAGGTGGACAGGATACACATTAAGGAAAGCACCAAACTGAATCACAGGACAAGCCTTCACTTGGAATCCTCAAAGCCAAAGGAAAAGAGGAAGGTCAAAGAACACATTACGTCGAGAATTAGGAGCAGACATGGATAGAATGAACAGCAATTGGATAGAGCTGGAAAGGAAGACCCAGGACAGAGTAAGTTGGAGAATGCTGATCGGTAGCTTATGCTTTATTAGGGAGTAACAGGCTGAAGTAACTTGTTTGATTCATTTGACAAGTCAAAGAACAAAATTTCTAATACAATTTCTTATTCTAACGAAGTAATGTTAAATTAATTTATCTAATAACAAATGAAAACAAATTAGTTTACTTCCTAATGAAAATAAAATCGACTGTAATTAGCCTTGGATAGAAAAAAAACTTGGCTCTTGCTAAAGAATTTTAGTCAAACAATTTAGTTCTACAGTCAGATAGGTATTTACATGAAATGAATTTAGTATTTTGAAAATGATGAACAATGATAGTATACTTTAACGTGTAAGATTTTCTGCGAACTTAATAAACATTTTATTTATAATCAATCTGTGTTAACATATAAATTATACTGAATAGATAAGTAGAAATAATCAATTAAATGAACAAAAGAATTAATATAAACCAATATTAAATATGATATGGCAGATTTTAGATAAACAATAAATGATCACATACGTAACTGGTAATAAACATTTTCTGTTACAAAACTAGGTAAAATTTCACACGTGAATCAAATAAACTTGACTAGATTAATTCATAAAATTATTCACGTTTCTGTAAAGAGCTTTTAAATTAAATAAATGAAATAAAGAGAATATAAACTTGAGTTGTTAACGAACGTGAAATAGTTAATCATTTAAAGAACCTTGGAGAGTGCGCATAAACTTACATTTTCATACCTTACATGAACACAGGTGAAATCAATAAGATGAGAAGCACAGAATATGGAATAAAAATAAGAAATCACCCCGATCAAGTTACTCATCAACATTATTCCCCTATCAATAAACAAAATATCATTCACTGAAGAGGTTTCATGAAACTCTTTTACGATACGAAGGTAATTTGTATTACAAACTAGCATATGCTAAGAGATCAATGCAAACCAGAAAGTACTTAACAGTTACTTTGTTCTACTGTGACTGTACTACTGCGCTGGATGCTACTCAGAAAATGTCATACAAGTTACATACAGCAGAGCGTCGCCTAGACGTTGCTGTCAGAGGTTGAAATGCATTGCGCGATCAGAGTATTTTGAAGACCAGAAGAGGAGTGAGAGAGGAGACCTAATAACTTGCTTGAATTGTAAATGGATGACTGATGACCATGTGTACATATTTTGTGAACAAACCGTCTTCCTCAAGTATTAAGATTGTATCCGGTCTTGGCTTCTTTGCATTGTACTTTTCATATTAAGTTCAGAAAATCCGTCTTGGGCCACAAGATTATTACTTACTGAAGTGATACAGCTTAATTTTAGTGTTTTCCAAACTAATCCAAATTTATAAAGAGAAATATTTTCAAGTTGTACAAATTCACTACAAAATTCTGGATTAGAAAAACTCTATTCTCACAGACCAACTGAAATTGTAGATGCATAACATCAGATTTTGATGTAGCATTAAGAGCTGTTTTCTATGTCACAGGTAATCATCTCTTGTTGTTTTATTTCAGTATACTCATCTATCCATAAAACAAGTATGCTCACTAAAGGAATTCAAAGAAAGTTTGTTGAACAAATGAAGTGTATCCATCAGAAGGAATTTTATTCCAAGTACATTATCTTTTACTACTGGTGATCATTTTCATTTTTTTTTTAGAAATCTTCATGTCTGCTGGTTTAGCTATAAGCATTAAAATGAAATTGGATATCAAGGTGATAGGAACAAAATATTGCAATACTCAAAAACGACTCAGAATTAGTCGTAATGAAAGATAGATACTCATTCCCATTTAAGGGATCAGGTTTTTACATCAAATAAAACGAGAACCATGTCCCGAATTCTAATGCTAACCACCACGGAAATTTGTTTTTACAAATGTTTTATTTTATGTCGTGAACTTACTTTTACCGTGTTACTTTGTATTACAGTCAAATGGATGAAGAAAATTACATCGTTTTATTAGGTAGACATATAGGGTAAAAAGAACTAAAAGATATGGTAACTTGAAAAAACTAACTAAATTGAAGATATTTTTCATGGGATGTTGCATAAATCTAAACAATTGTCTAAAAATATGAAAAACTGGATATTCGTTATAGTGTAGTACAAAAACCTACAACAAAAACTACCTTAAGTCAATTCTAGAGTTAAATCCCATTGCAAAGTACTGTCAGTTAGTCACTACCTGTCAGGATATAATTAAAAGCTGCGACGTAAAAAACTACACAACACAGTAGTTAATATGAGTACTATTGAAGGTGATGACACCATTGCACTGGAATTTAATAAAATTTTCCCTATGATTCCTGAAAATAATATTTATATATCACAATGTATTAGAAGTGTACATCAATGCGAACTTGCATACTAAGAAACAATCATAGTAAAAAAATGAAAGCACTTACCCGCTTCCAGGTTTTGCTCTTAATTCAGAATAATATTTAATTTTTGGTTCAGTTCCACTTGTACGAAGCGTTAGTGTTACACCATTTGAAAAATCAAAAGTAATCAATTGACTTGATTTACTAACAGGTAGTACCTACCCCATAAAAAATAGAAATTTCACTGATGTGATAAATGAGAGTTGACGATTAAAACATGAAATAATTAGATACACGAATATGAATGACAAGATGAATATAGAAAAAAATCTCTGCATTCTATTGTTTATCTATACGAAATATGTAGTGAAATTCTTACTAAGTATGATGAATTCTCTTGAAATCAAATATTTTTAATGAATTCATGAATCGATCAATGCTGACTAGTCCTATACTAGTGCTTTTAGGTTTTCAAGGGTGGTCTAACATTTATCAATTTATGATTTCTAAGAAACTCAACAATCTCCACAATCTTATAATAAAAAAAACTTCACTAAACACATGTAGTGGAGTGAATATCTTGACTCCTATTTTATGAAGTTCTTAAGTTGATTAAATGAATACAATAATGGTAAGTTACAATTTATTAAACTTATTGAAAACATAATTAAACTGTTGTGTAATGCATATGTATCCCCATCATCTTATGTAAGTGAGATAATATTGTATGGTGCATTTACTTCGTAATAAGTATGCACTTTAAATAAAAAATAAATTGAATCAAAGAAAAGCTGAATAGTAGAACGAAATGCACATTCTAAACTCTACTGCTAGATACTTGTCAATGTTAATTAAAATATATGATTAAATGGAACCAGTGAGGCAATCCACTTAGGATCCAAATATACGAATAGAGATTGATCAATTGCAATCTTCAACATCAATAATAGAAGATGCATACTCTTACAAATAAAATCCACAGTTATTGCACATGCTAGTGGCTATCTGAGCTCAGAAGTTTAGTGTGTGATGGATGCTTCGGTGTTTGAAGTGAAAGGTTACTCCGTTCCATTCTCAGTGTGAAGATCCACACTGAGATGAAAGTATACTTAAGTTGAGTCAAAAATAGGATGTATATTTTAGATACCATCAGTGTTATTCATTAATCAACTTTAACTAAAAACAATCATAGAAAATATTTCATATTAATATGGAATTAAATTAGTATTACCGGTTTTAAATCTGGATAGTGATCATCATAACCGACTGTTAAATCTCGTATACCAGTTATTTGAAATCGTCCAAGTTTTTGAGGATAACCTTTAGGACCAGGTTCATTAGGCCAATTACGTATACGATTGAACATTTTAACAATTTTTTCCGGTTCATGACAAAAGTAATAACCATTATTGGAAATATGTTGACCATAACTAATATTGAATAAGGAATAACGAGAATAGATAGTAAGGATAATTAACACTTATCAATATCAAGCGTTCAGTATAAATTTAATCAAATGAAGTACAAAGAAACGTGTTTATTTCTGCAACTAAAAAATATAGTCTAAAATCCGTAGTTCTTACTAGAATTCTGGGAATTAATTATCTAAGTTAATCACTAGTGAATAGTCGTCAATGATGTAAACTATAAATCTCAACAATTTCCATTTGCCATTGACATAACAATTAAAAACTACTTTACTTTCTATTTTTCGAAATATTTTCATATGGTTATATTAAACTAACGTATCTAGAGGATTATTAGGATGGTTAAAATAAGCCTTTTTGTGAAGGTAACTTATATTTGCAAGAGTAGGATGAAAAAAATACTCAGTGTATTGTTATTTGAATAACCAATTGATAAATATCGACAGAGTGCATAACGGGGATTGGTTGAGTAGCTGCTGATTGAATATGGGATTGTATCAAATTTATCGGTGATCAATCACATCCCCCCCCCCGAATCTCAGAGCTTAATTACTAAGTATTAAGTCTTCATAACTTAGTGTTTGTAAGATATTACGGACCTAAGATTTGACTGTTATTTTGCTAACTGGTAAGTTGATAAATGCTAAAATCTGCAGAATATAATCCATTGATTAGCACTTACATGTCATATATCTCCATTAATTGTTCAGATAATAGTTTTCCATTACGATGAACATAAGCAGTCAGTTCAGCCATAACTGCCAAAGCCCCAACACCATCTTTATCCCAAACAACATCACCACACATGAAACCTGAAAATACGAATAAATTTAAGGATTATGGAAAGGGAGTCATGCAGAATAAAGTAAAAATTCATTCTATTTCACAGTTTTCCACAAGTTGCATACAAAATTATGGTTACTAACAAATACTGAGCATACTTTAGTTCTTGAAGTTTAGATAAATGTTCTATATGTAACCATAATAATAATAATAATAACAGGGATATAGGTGTGTCTACCAGTAATGTTAATCAAAATAAAAGAGGTTTTACAAGGATAATTAGACTAATTAAATGATAAGATTTAAATTCCCTGCCTAATGAATAGAAAATTAAATAATCTTCCGTTAAAGCTTTAAGAATGGTTGATATTAAATTGAAATGTGAATAAAGAAGTAAGGATTTTACAAGAAATAATCTAACGAGAGGAAATTTTGAATCTATTAGAGTTTCATGATTTCTGTTAGTGACGAAGCAAACGACGGAAGTAGAAGAGTAGATAACAAGGAGTAATAGTAATAATAAATCATACCTATAGCTTCTTCGAAAGCGAAAATTGTTTTAATATTTTGCGATTCTAGTTCACAGGATCGATTACCCAACCATTTGAAGCCAGTTAAAGTTTCTTCAAATCGAAATCCTTCCTGTTCAGCAATAGTTTTTAATATTTTTGAAGACACTGTACTAGATAATACAGCAACACTGGAAGCTGTAAAATAAAAACGAAAGATTAAATTAAATATTACATCATATTATCAAACAATGATGATGAGAAATTGTGGAAGTAAATTTACAGTGTGAATTATTAAAGGTATCCTACACAAATTTAAATTATTCTTTGTTACTGTTCTGCAATTAACTTTACTAATCGTTCCAACTATATTCCAGGTTGTGGCTCAATGAAATATTTGGTGAAATCAAATATCGTATAGTGAACAGTATATTTCAGTCTTTATTTAGCACACAGAAGAGAAATGAATTTTTATGACTTTAGATAAATCTTCTGTTAAACGTAGAATAGAAAGAGTACAGCCATGTCAGAGCATTTTTGAATGAAATTGAAACGTTCGAAATAGACAGGATTATATAAGACTTATACATAAAAAAGGTGACGTTTTTTAAGACAGTGCGTATCATTACAAGCGATTTGTGGACATTGTTGATTTTCGTAGGTTATATCATATACTAATCTTAGAGAGTAGTGACCAGTGGAGTTCAACAATGTTGAGAGTGAAGTAGTTACTCACTAATGGCATTGTGGACGAAAGTTGAGCAACATCGAGATTTGATCAAAAATAGAGATGTAAACCACGGGATACCAATTATTCATTGTTCTCCAGATTCCCATGATCGTCTAATTAAGATTTTGGAGTAATTTTGAGAACCACATACAGAATTTGGACAATTTAAAATCATGTTGACACTACTTATCTCATGCATGAATACAGAAGTATTAGTCCAACTTTTGATATGATTACAGATGGATATCATTTTTTAGAAACAAATGTAAATGTACATTCACCGTTCCTTAAACCTTAACTGGTTATTCAAATGATTTGAAAATCTGATGACTGATCCCCTCTCACTGAAGTTATCCGATGTTTAGAATTCCTTAACTTGATTTCTTATATTAGAACAAGGGAAAATCCTAACTAGAACAATCACATGATGTAATGCACGTGATTAATAAAAGATAGGCAGTTCCGGAACTCTTAAAAGCTATGCTCTCTCTCTTACTCTTTACCGCATTCCATAGATTGTGGTTTTACTTTTTTGTCGAATTATTGACTCAGAGTGAAATAGCTAAATTATTCTTAAGGTTAAAAGAAATAGAGAATAAAGGAATAATAGCAATTAAATTATCATCTTAGCTCCATACTAACTATAGTCAATATTTTGTCTGATCTGAAACTAATTAAGAAAGATAGATGAATACAGGAAGAACCAAGTACTTTTAACTACTAATGTTTACGTATAATCAATCCAACGATCAGTAAATTAATAATTATGACCAATGTCGGGCGTGATAAGAGTCCTAAATGTACAGAATATAGTTAATTAGTGGTAACAAAAAGAACCACAGAAAGACGAAAATTTATTTAAAAGTCAACTATCAAAACGTTTTCAATTAGAGTTATGGAGATTAGTGTTTTTACACATTTGAAATCATCAATCAATCATTGTTAGACCACCATTAGAAACCTGGAAGCACTGGACGGCCGTTTCGTCCTGGTATGGGACAAATGGGTGAGGTCGCGCAAAATCTCTAGATCAATCAGAGTTAGACATTAACACCGTTGGATACCGGCCCGGTGGTCCAGAGGTTAGGTGTTCGCGCACAAGACCGGTCTCGGGTTCGAATCCTGCGAGGTGCAGGAGTCGTGGATGCGCACTATTGATGAGTCTCATACCAGGACGAAACGGCAGTCCAGTGCTTCCAGGTTTCTAATGGTGGTCTAGCAATGATTGATTGGTGATTTCAAAGGTGTATCAAAACATTATCAAATTATTTCAAGTAACTGTAAATGTAAATTGATAAAAATAATAAATATTGAACAATGAGTTATCTATTTTCTTGCATGGACAGTAAAATTGTTCCATTTTCATAAATAAGCTACTATTTCTTTGACTACCATACATACCTAGAGTTTATTCTAATAAATATTTAAAAGATGATGCATGTAAACAAATACGAATTTTCCGATTGCCTTAGCCATATTATTTTGCAAAAGATTTGGATTCTATCCGAAATTTACACTTGTAGCTTCTGAGTTTAATTTGATTTATTAAAAAAAATGCCTTCAGAAATATCGTTATTTTATGTAGGTTAACAGTTGAAAACTTTTGATGTACTGCAGGTTTAACAGAAGAATTAAACAAAGTGTTTAGGGAACAAAAAAATCAATGGGTAAACTGTTGATCACTCAACCATACTGATTATTCGTTATATTCATGATCTGTAATACATAACTATCAGAATATGGACATAAGATTCTACTTTTATTCAACAAAAGTTTACATATATAAAACAGGAGTATTAACAATTTTTTTTTCATATAAAAACTTAGGAGAAATGATAGTAATAGGTGAATATTACAAACTGAAACCACAAAATAAAGCAGTCTAGACTATTTTGTTTGACTAACAATGTTATTACTGCTTTATCGTACCAGGAATTACCTATTATTTGTCTCTATAGTTGTTGTGTCTAAGTAATTTCTTTAGATATTTTTTTGCAGGTATATTACTGATTAGTAAAACTTTGTACTTATCTCGACTTGTACATTTAAAATAAGAATGAAACTAATGAGTAACAGAAAAACGTGTGGTTTATACATTTTCTTAAGAGGAATGTCTGGCTAGCTTATGATTTTTAGCCGACAAGTGTGCATTTTTCAGTTGTGTTGTTTTTAAAGAAAATAAGGTATCTATAAAGGAATATATATATATATATATATACATGTTTGATTTACCTATTTTACATAATACACAATGATTGATTTATAATTTCAATTAAATTCTCATAAAACTGGTAGCCAAAAACAGCATGCACCACACAAAGTAGAAAGACAATGATACTAAACAGTATGAGGAGTAGGAGAAAAAAGTGAACAAGAATAATCCATAACAGAGCGTACACTCTGGTTGAAAATACAATCAAGGGATCTTTTCACGTGAAAGTAGTTTCTCTTATTTCAATAAAAAAAGATAACAGAAAACGCCAACAGTATCGCAAATGATTTCTGTTTCGAGACGTGTCTGATAACATCTCCAGGACTTGAGTCATGGAGTCGCGATGAATTGACAGATCCCAGTCTTATACAGTTTGCTCGCACACCGATGTGTTATGTCATAAACAGTCTATCTCTAATCTTTTCTCATCCAGTCCTAGTATCGGCAAATAATGCACGACGCGAAGATTGCTGGGATGATATTTGAAAAACACGTTCAAGGAGCTGAAGTGAGTATTTCAAGGCAGTGACTGAGCTCGAACACGTAACACCTAACCTCAGAGTCATTAATATGAAACCTTCGTACACATGAATACTAGTCCTAGACAAGAAAGGACCAGTTATCCAATGCTTTAGGATGTTCTACGTTTTTCTAGTTGATTTCAACCTATGATGAGAGCGATCTCAAAAATTCAACTAATCTCAACATAAACTGAAATAAATAAAATGTGACTGATTGATTAACCTCTTGACCATTCTGTTTCTGAGAAATAGTGAATAGACTTAGTTCTTTATTGAATAGTTTATATCTAGATCATATATTCATATATACATAAAGTTTCAAATACTAAAAGTTCTTAAAAACAGTATTCATTGTATGAATATATGATAGTTTATAAGTAAAAAGCTAACTAACTTAGAACTTATTTATTATGAATTTAATTGTAAACAAAGTAGTTAATGATATTTTTTATGCATGATATATATATATATATATATATATATATATATATATATATTTAAAGGTCAAACAAGATTTATAGTACTTTATATTGATGGAAAATATAGTTAAACTGTATAAATTTTTATTACATGTACTACTTTAATTTACACAAGTTTCCAAACAGTTTCAGATAACTAGGATCGACATTGAAAAAACATAACTATTCAATAAGCTGTTGAAGTTCGAGTACTTAATAAAATGGAAACCAAGTGCCTACATTATAAATATTATTAGAATAGCGGAAAAATAAAGAATCTAACATAAACGATAATGAAACAAAACAGATAATATATGAGAATACTAGGTAGTCAATAAGGAACAAAGAGAAAGTACGGGAAATACAGCGTAATGGGCCATGAAGAGGTATAAACCTATACCGAATTACTAAAATGTATCATAGTCATAAAGTAGGATGGAGAGAACTGCCGTACAGTAAACTCGTACTTTGGTTAACAGACGCATATCTCGCCTATGCCATAGGTGACGACCGTAGTTGCTATCTTGACGTGGCGGTCGAACTTGCCTATCGTGATGACCAAACCAAGCTATATTGGAGGGAACATAGGTTCCTCTAGGTTCTACCATGTCAGGCAGGTCGATTGAAGTAAGGTATGAATAAAAGCAGCAATTGAAGGTCTGAGGATGAAGTCGTATTGCTAACTGTAGAGGGGTGTGATATCAGACAACCAGCATCTGCAAAGATGGTGCCTTCCCACAAGGAAGGAAGGGGTAAGGAAAGGTCGACCCTAAAAATGTCACACTTCATCTTACCTCACGCATTTCGGTCTCTGGTGGTAAGGCCACTTGGGAGCAGAGCTGACACTTCAAAATCTCCCAATAAAAAGTCCGTGCATGACCGGCCTGAAGCAGCTGTAGCTTGGCTCTGTGGTCACGCTCCCAGGTCCCTCAGAACGACGCTAACCCGATTTCCTTCTCAGATTCCTCAAGAAGTACCCTTCCACGGTACGGGCAACCGGGAAGTGACAAGTGCCCTCATACCCGTAAAAACACACGAAGCCTAATCGGTTACAAGCAAATCCTTTCTTTACCTCCTAAAAGTTGGCAAAAGCCAATCGAGCCTTCCGTATCCGTGCCGAGATTTCGTCGCACACCAGGCCATCAGCAGTGATGAGACTTTTGAGATAAGTGGAGCGGTCAGCAAGCCCATCTAATTCACCACCTATCAACAGTGCAGGTGCCGACACAAGACAATCCTGAAACCACATTTTGCATTTCGATGGGGAAAGTTTTCTATATCTATTTTTAAATGATCTGGAACGTATGTGAACTTCATATACTATATAAGCATCTACTCTGTCACTTTCAGGACTCCAGATAATCTCCATACTCAAATTTTATACTTTAATAGAAATATGGTTACGAGAAGCCGATGTAAATCCTTGGAATAAAACTAATTCACATTATTCTGCTTCAATCATTCTCTTGGTTTTATTCAAAAACTATGGATCGGTATCACAAGGTTCAAGTGCATTTAATCAACTATTATAATTTCGCTTTATTCGAAAAATACGATATCTATCGTATTTAACTCGTAGATTCGGTGTAATTAGATTAGCCAAGAAACAAACTTTCATTTTTTTTTAGCATTATCAAGTCACGAATTTCTAAAAGTGAACGTCTTAAAATTTAAATAATGCTTAAACAGATATATTTATGCAATAACATACGTTTTACTTGAGGATTGTGTATTTTCCACTGCAACGATAGCCACCAACCAAATAAGGCTCCAAGTTCATTACCATTGAAAATTTTCCACTGACCACTACAAATTAAATTCATATATTCTTTGGTAAAAAATTAACAAAATACCAGCTTGTCGATGGATAAACTTTCTAGTCAAAAAATATAATGATCTGTTTTAATTTTAAAACAATATATCTAAGGATTATCATAAAATAATATCAGTGAACTGTAGAGGCTAATGTCAAATAGTTGCATAGATCTATTACGACCGAAATTATTCAATGTAACTGACATGATAAAGAAAGAATAAGGCTTGATAACTAGGTATTAATTTCAATAGAGCTTAATTGATCTACTAAGTCTGTATCGCTATCCGAATACGGTAGTGGTAGCATTTCAGATTGTGAAGATGGATGATGCAAGTTTCGATCCACCACGAAGCACTAGTTACTTCAGGACCGCGAGCATTCGTCGTTGGTAAGCGTCAAACAGCACGGAACATGTCGATCACCTTCAAATACCCAGCATATTAACACAGAGCACACGAAATCAAGTCGCTTCGGCTGGTGGACAAAATTTGATCAGTACCAAACGACTAGACAAACATGAAGTTGGTTACTACATGGCGATCAATCAACCGTAAATATTTTGCTATAGCAGATGCCAACCTGATCTAATTAAGAAGGAAATTACATAAAGCTAACGAATATATGTATGCTCATTTCAGTTACCAGCACACAGCATAAAATACAGGTCATAATTCCACATTCTTCCTTAATTAACTAATCGAGATTGAATGTGTTCATTAACTTACGATGTTTGTTTTTCTGCAACTGCCAGTCTATCAGCATCTGGATCATTGGCAAAAATGATAGTACTTTTAATAGATTCCGCATGTTTAATGCCTAAATTGAGTGCAGAACGACCTTCTTCCGGATTCGGATAATCAACGGTTGGAAAATCTGGATCAGGCATTATCTTAAGAGATTTTAAAGAAAAGTCATAGGCATAAAATTATGATTTTTTCAAGATTTAGTTTTCATGAAGGTGATACTCTTATAAAACAAGTCAGCAGAATTAGTGAAATCCTCCTATTTGGCACAAGAATCAATAATTATCTATACACGCACTATGATAGATAGTATGAAACTCTCATCAATGTATTTGAGTATAAATAACTGGGTTTTGTTTTAAAAAGCCATATTAATTATAAAGAACCTACATAATTGTAAAACTACAAAAATTAAGTGCGAATTGAATTGAGTGATGGATATTACATAAATCACTGAGAAGTCAATACCGAAAATCAATTTATGCTTCTGGGTAAAAATAATATGGTATCTTCTCATCTGAAATATACGTGGCGATAAAATAATACGTTTTAAAGTAGTGCAAGATCGATTCAGACAATTAAAAAAAACATTGAACGGATATATAAATAACTCTAACGGCAGGAACCTCAAAATTTTAATGAGTTCCAACTTTTGGTACTAACTGGATCATTTCCAAATTTGAGATGGTATTTGACACTGGTGAATCCGTTACGGTATACTACAAGTTGGCTAAAATGAAAACTGTCAATCATCAGAACAAGAACCAGAGGTTTAATAATTTGAATTCAGGGTGAACAGCCTGAAAATAAAAGTTTTGATTGAAACAGAACAACCTATACGAATCCTGAGGAATGTTAAAGAAAGTAATTTCAGTGTTTGTTTAGTCGCCTTGATAGGAAATTTATTTATTTCTCAATGAAGTTTTTTAGTTTCATTGGCACTAATGCCATGCAAGTAGACCGTGACTGTTGTTATTAGTGAATAGAATAACATCGAAAAGCTACTTCGTTCGAATAATTGATCAATAAGTTTGGAAATTACAATAAAAAAAATTTAAGAATACCGTTGAGAATCTGTGATTCACTTCTAATAACAAGAACGATGTAATTTAATGAGAGATTAAATTTTACCGAAGTATTAGTCATCGAAATATGTTTAATAATTTGAATCTGTATTATAAACTAAAAATGACTCACACTACGTATGACTCTTTCTATGTGATTAGATGTGAATGGTATTTTTAAAAATTAATTTATTTTTGTAGTAACATTGGAGTTACACTTGTTTGATGAGTAACATATATTTTTTAATGTACTTGTGTAGTGTTCACATATTGAGTAGCAGAATAGTTGAAAACTACAACATTCATATATATTTTAAATTACGTACATGTGAAAAACCAAATTACAGAAAACTAGAACATACCTGTTCTGGAACTGGTTCAAGTGGAGGAAATCCAAAACATGAAACTAATGTTTTAACTGCTTCCCAACCTACACCATGCATAGGTGTATACACAAAAGGAGTTTTACATTTTATGTTTTCGGATCTAACACATGAAACCAAAAGTAAGCAATAAAAGATACACTCGACAAATTTAAAGGTGATTATAAATATGTCATTCTTAGAGAGGAAGCTGCACATGTTTTGACATAGAAAATAAGAATACACAGAAACCTAATGCGAAATGCTGATGAATGTCATTGTTTTGTTCTCAAGGATGGTTGAACAAAGAAGTGCCATACTGCAACAAATTGCGTGTGATTTTAGATAGCTAGAGAAAATTATGTGTTCGGACTCCTGTTCTTGAGCTGTGGGATTGAACTTCGCAAGATAGTCGAAATTGATGGTTACTACTAGAGCTAAATTAAACAAGTAGTAATACCAACGATTTCAGTCTTAAACATTCTGAATTTTGATCTGACAAAAAAAGATGTTCTTGGGACTTCAAATTTCGGTTCTAGGCTTATCAGCGAGTTTATAAAACAGCATTATTAAGCGATGTTTGAAATGGTTTAAGAATCCCAAAAGTCCCATGACACAACAAATATAATCAATGTAACACTCAAATTTCGTTGCTGATCGAAGACTAACAAATTGATAATAAGTCGGCCAAAAAATGCTGTGAATCATCGTATCCCATCAGAGACGCTTTCAAGGGTGGAATAATGAGTAGTTTAATGTTCTTCAAGAATATGAAAATACAATTTTAGTGAACTACATTTAAAAGACAACTAATGGGAGAATTGTAACAATCTACTTCCGAAAAAAATATTTTGAAAGTCAGATAGATTGTTTCTTTCTGCCAAACATTTATCAAAGTATCAAGTAAAGGAAATTCATCAACCAAATATTCTCGCACTACCTTTTGTAAACTAGGAGTCATATTATATATATATATATATATATATATATATATATATATATATATATATATATATATATATATCTTCAAACAAGCATGACTTACTCTGTAAAACACAGCCTACTCTTCTGTAGTCGGCAGTAGGTTTCCAAAAGCTTAGGCATCGGATCTAAGCAGAGAGGATTTGCCTCGACACAATCTATGTTCCATGAAGTTTCCAAAGGGACCAGACTTTCAAGGATACAACTTGATATACCACTGTCATGAGGACTGATTATCTGACATCCGTTTGACCAGTAAACCTTAGAAAAAACAACTATATTAACAAAACTATACTTACTTTGTAACCATTATCATTTTTTGGATTGTGAGATGCAGTTATCATAACACCTAAGGCCGTTTTGTAGAGCTTAACGCCAAATGCAACCATAGGAGTTGGGAACGTATCTTTGAACAAGTACACTTTGCAACCAGCATTAATAAATATATTAGCAACAATAAATGCCCATCTAAATGTGAGTAATTGATTATACGACAAAGCACTTACTTTTTACTATTATGTCGAGCATCATAACCAACTATAATTCCATCTGACTTGAGATTTGGGAATACTTTTAGCGAATACTTAAGTAAACCCTTAAAACAGATAAGGATTACGATTAATTTTCATTACTTGAGTTGTTTGTATGATAGTTAAGTCGTTCATCTGAGAATATCCTGGCCCCATCTTTGCACGTAATCCTAAATATGTCAATGAAACAGTGAGTTATACGAACCAGCAGTTCCAAATGCCATTCTTTCTAGCAATAACTTCTGCAATTTATTCCATGCTTCTTTTTCTTTCAGTAACTTAATTTGTGAGCGCGTGTTTTCGTTCTGTAATGAAATTCATAAAACGAAAACTAAAAGCAATTACCTTGTCATACTTCATCCATTCTTCAAAAGATTGAGCTAGTTCTTTATCCATTTAAGATGTCTAGAAAAATCAAGCACTCATAAGGTTTTCTGACATTACAATTACGCAATCAGGAATAAGTTACAAAATTATACATAAGAGAATCCAATAATATTGATGCAAACTAATAGTCCATAGTAAGATCATAGAAGTATTTGTTTGCAAACTATCTAACAGTCTCTTATCTAACCCTTTGACAAACTGATGATTTTCATTAGTGTGTATTAATGTACCAAGAGAATCGGGCTACTTTCAATCAAGGGATATTGATTTACTATGGTGATAACAACAGTTCTCATCTTTTGGCTAGTACTTCAAGATTTTGCTTCCAATTATAATTTTCACAATAAACTGGACAACACAGCTCTTATGGCTGTGAGCTGAATAAAAAACAGAAATAACATGTTACGTAAGAAAGAAAAACTCTACATAACAATTCTTTATTCCATTCATTATTGATGTGGATGATGGCTAACTAACACTTGAATAATGAGTAAATGCGTAAAACTAAATGAAATCAAAGATCGAAAGTTAAACTAATGGATATCGGAAATAGAACTATATATCTTATTGTACATTGCTAGAAAAATAAACCTATCGCTCAACACATGAACCAGTCACTTAAGATAGCAGAACTGCAAATTATGTCACGCGAATAATCAATCGACAAAGCAATTACGAAATATCTAGTAACTAAACGAGTTAAAATTCTGACTACCGTGTCGATAATATTAAGGTATTTAATTCTTAGAAGGGGCAAAGAAGCACACCCAGTTACATTAGTAAAATAGAACATAAAAAGCGAAGACGGAAAATAATTCAATTTGACTGAAGGAAAGATAAAACAGATGGCAGTATGACAATAAAACCATATCAGTGTTTTTTCAGTTAATTATTCAAGAGTCAACCAATATACAGCACAACGCATATACAAATAAAAGGCGGTAATTTCCCAGGTATTAAATTACTACTGATGCAAAACCTTATATTCAACAAACGGTGAACTAAAACGTAAGAAAACGATTTCTATATGGTCACTGAATTCATGGAAGCTCCAATTAATTGTGAAACAGTTGCTTGTGGGGTAGTGTCAAACAAAAACTATCAAGATAATTAAAACTATTGTACAAAGATGTTATTTAAGGGGAGATAGTGAGTTTTAAATGTCGGTAGGTTACGACAATATCAACTTTACAAACCACCAGCCAGAATTTTCATTAGGCTAATGTATTAAACTACACAATAAAATATGAAGACTAAGAAATATATAGTACAGATATGTTTCAGTTTAAAACACAACCAAATAAGCTAGTAGAGATACAAGATGAATCGGTTTTTATGAAATTTTATGTTAAACGACCATTAGAAACCTGGAACCATTGGACTGTCGTTTTGTCCTGGTATGGGACTCATCAGCAGCGCGCATCCACGACTCATGCACCTCGCATGATTCGAACCCGGGACCGATCTTGTGCGCGAACACCTAACCTCTGGACCACCGGGCCGGCACCCAACGGTGTTAATGTCTAACTCTGATTGATCTAGAGATTTTGCGCGACCTCACCCATTTGTCCCATACCAGGACGAAACGGCAGTCTAGTGCTTCCAGGTTTCTAATGGTGGTCTAACAATGATTGATTGATGAGTTCAAATGTGTAAAAACACAAACCTCCAAAACTCTGCCTGGAAATTTTATGTGCTGAAATTCCCTTCTGAATTATGGTTCCTTGTACGTAGTTCAAAGTGAGACTTGATACAGTAAGAACGAATTCAGTAGAATAGCACAGGTAATTTCATAAGGTTCACAGGAATAGGATAAAACTCAAAATATCAAGAACATTTACGAACAGAAATATCACAAAATAATAAGGATAAACTTGAATAGACACTAAGAATGAGTAGGTGACATCATAGCTGAAGCCAATGAATTCAAAGACAAAAAAACATTGAAAAATCCAGAAACTGAAAGATGTGCTCAATATATTATTCAGAATAGCACAATGAAATAGGGATGGATTTTGAGCAATTATGTTTACAGAATGGATTAAAAAACGAAGATGTATTCGTAAGATGGCTAAGAAGTTTTTGGATTCAGACGGTTGAGTAGCTTGTAGTGTTTGAAGTGTATTAACAAGTAGTTGACAGTCGAACGATGTTACACAGCTTTTTCATGATAAAAATTACCACTTGAAGCTGAACTGCTTACCGTGCAAATGTAAACTACTCTCCTGTAAGATATCTGCGGTTTATTGATTTTATCTTGTTTATGGAAAACACAGAAACCTCACATCTAAATGTTATATATAACGACTGGTATGTAACAAAATGACTAAAACAAAAATGGTGGTTGAACCTTAATAATTCGTCTGATGTGGAGCCGTTCCACTATTGTCCTGCACTTGGTTGAGGTTTTACCTTCTTTATCGCCTAAGAATTCATCAAATAAGTGGGAAAAGATTATTTTACCTCACATACAAGCTTTTATTTATCGCTTGAAAATACTGACTTTAGGAATTTATCAAAATATATCTGTCTGAGAATCGATTGAAAGAAATACTGGGTATGACCAAGCGCGATCTACTTAACCTGTGTTAAGAATGCAATTTAGTACTAATTTTACCTGAAGTTCGTCTTTGAAACCCAATGTTATCCAATAGACTTGTTTCCACCTTCATGACATTTCATGTATCCTAGGCAAAAAGTAGGACAGGCTGAGGCTTATGGAGCTAAGTCACTAAATGCTTTACAAAAAATCACTTACAACGCAGAGAACCGACATGAAAGTATTTGACGGAAAATCTTTAATAAAAGAACCGAACTCTCGGCCCTACCCAACATTTTTTCTAAAATTACTAGAACATGATGAACCTGAAAGGTAATAACTAAATACGCTTGGTAAATATCAGATGTGTTCAAAGAAAACAAAGGATTCATTCAAGTTCAAAAACATTTTACGATCTTAAAATTACTGTCACAGGAATTAGGCCGCGTAAGACGTTAGCAAAACATTGTAAAACATATTTATGAGTCATTAAAGAGGATTGAACGGAAACAATGTCACTCTAAAATCGTAAAATAGAAACGAAAACACATGACAAACTCAAGTAAAAATCAGTTTTGTCAAACCATATGTGAACATGAGAATTTATTGCAAATACTGCCTTAGCTGTAAGACTATGTAACCCGAAAAACGAGGCAACGCTTGTAGCTATTTCTAGCCAAATGTTCACTGCAAGGCAGGAGCTATCAAATCACCACTATAAATTCACATTATCACTGCGCGATTAGAGCTCACCGTAGCGTCGTTTTGAAATGAGCCTTGTTCACCAAAAACTAACCTTGAAAATGCCTTGTCCATTTGGGTTAAATTTTGAATAGACGAATTATTTCACTGATTTAATTGGGTTATTATTGCCTGAAAGTTGTGAGATCGGTCTTTCTGAAGTATGAAACAGAATTATTTGTCATCCGCTTTAGTGATGAGGCTGGTAGGCTGGCGGGGTCAATCTTGCACCTTGTTTCGCATTGAAATTTCAGTTTCTCTGTGAAAGCCTATATCCATAGGATATGGCGTTTCAGTCATTGGTCACAGGATGTGATCCAATACCAATGTCTTTTTAACGAGCTGGTATAAAGCAACTGATTTCTTTGCGGTGGGTTCTTTTTCTTTCGGTCCGGTTCCAGGTGTTTGGTAGTGTCCAGGAAATGGGGGTCTAGCTACTCGACTGTCTAATTCTAGTCAGTTGGCAGTTGGTTGTGAGGTTTAATGTCACGTGGTTTGAATGAAAATGCTTGATTTAGGGCATTAGGGTTTCTGGATACAAGCAGCTATCACATTACCAGACCGGAGATAAGTTAGTTGTAGGGTGATAACACCAAGTTGTCTTCGCATAAAGTAAGGAGTCACATTTGACTTGGCTGCGTTCCCTATATAGTTTGGTCTTGTGTGGAGGCTTTCAGTAGTTATTAAACCTAGATCGTGCGCTGAGGAGATATTAGGGAGCGGATTTCCATTGAGGGTGTAAATCGTTGACGTCACGTGGGACAGAATATACATGACGTGACTCTTCGAATCCTCCCCGCCTCTAATGGACCTCCAGATCTTCACATCGTCTGCGTAGATCAATGCCGGTGAGCTAACTGAGCCTTACAGGTCGTTGATAAATATCAGGAAGGGGATTGGACCTAAGATGCGATAAACGGAGTCTGATCGTAATTTGAACTTTTTCAGATGACTAAAAAGAGTTAAATGACAAGACATTTTTACACCTGAATTGTTGTTTCAGATACAGAGTGTATAATTAAGCCATCTGAAGACCAACGACAAGATATGCAACTAACTTGAAGCTTTTTAAGGTACTCTTACGGGAGATTGCAAATCACTTATTTAATACCTATCCTTTTGATAACTCTGTGGACACGTACACCTGTGATCCAATAAAGACACATTTCTAAAGTTATATTTAAAATAAGACCATGTGTGGATAAAATGAACTCTTCAAAATCATTCTTCAAATTCTTTCAGTTCATTTTTTATTGATAGAAGATCATGAAATTCTTTGGGAACTGTTGCATTAAAATGTGCAGTTATTTTCTATTTTTGACTGAAATTATTCACCTCTGTGACAGCTGGAAGTCATGTATCATAAAAAGAGTGCCAATAGATCCTGAGATTAGTCGTCAGTAGCAGACATTTACCGGAACTTTTCCGTGAGCTCCAGAGTCGGTTCAATCCAAATAAATTTTTTCACATCATTTCAGGCTCTGGAATATTTGAGTCGCAGCATATTACCTGCTCTTACTTACTTAATTACTTACGCCTGTTACCCCCAATGGAGCATAGGCCACCCACCAGTTTTCTCCAACCAACTCTGTCCTGGGCTTCCCTCTCCAGTTCTGTCCAATGTTTGTTCATTCCTCTCATATCTTTCTCTATTTCTCGGCGTAATGTATTCGTTGGCATACCTCTTTTCCTTTTGCCTTGAGGGTTCCATGTGAGGGCTTGTCTCGTGACGCAGTTAGGTGCTTTTCGTAGAGTGTGTCCTATCCACTTCCACCGCTTCTTCCTGATTTCCTCTTCCACTGGAATCTGACTTGTTCTCTCCCACAGTTCGTTGTTGCTGATGGTGTCTGGCCAACGAATCCGAAGTATTTTGCGTAAACAACTGTTAATAAACACTTGTATCTTCTGAATGATGGCTTTGGTAGTTCTCCAAGTTTCCGCTCCATATGATATAACTGTCTTGACATTTGTATTGAAAATCGTGATTTTGGTTTTGGTTGATATTTGTTTGGAGTAACAGATATTGTTCAATTGTAGAAATGCAGCCCTTGATTCGCCGATCCGCACCCTCACATCTGCATCGGATCCACCTTGGTTGCGGATGATGCTGCCAAGATATGTAAAGGTGTTTACGTCCTCCAAGGCATCTCCATCAAGAGTGATTTGGTTGGTGCATGTTGTGTTGCATCGGAGAATTTTGCTTTTTCCTTTATGTATGTTGAGACCTACTGTTGCAGAGGCTGCCGCTACATCGGTCGTCTTCTCTTGCATTTGTTGTTGAGTGTGCGATAGAAGAGCCAAGTCATCTACGAAGTCCAGATCATCCAGCTGCGTCCTAACTGTCCAGTTGATACCGTGCTTCCCTCCAGATGTTGACGTCTTCATAATCCAGTCGATGACCAGGAGAAAGAGAAAGGGTGAGAGTAAGCAACCTTGCCTGACACCGGTCTTCACCTCGAAAGAGTCTGTTAGCTGTCCTTCGTGTATGATTTTGCAGTCGAATCTGTCATAAGATTTCGGTATGATGTTAACTATCTTCTCAGGCACCGTAGTGTCGAAGAAGCCTCCATAGTGTTTTCCTGTCCACGCTATCGAATGCTTTCTCGTAGTCGATGAAGTTGATGTAGAGTGGTGAGTTCCATTCAATTGATTGTTCCACAATGATCCGTAATGTAGCAATTTGGTCAGTACACGATCGATCCTTACGAAATCCGGCCTGTTGATCTCGAAGTTGGGCGTCTATGAAGTCCTTCATTCTGTTTAACAATACGTTGTTGAAGACTTTGCCTGGTATTGAAAGAAGAGTGATGCCTCTGTAGTTCTCACACTTGCTCAGGTCGCCTTTCTTTGGTATTTTGATGAGGTATCCTTCTTTCCAATCTGATGGTACTTGTTCCTCATCCCAAATCTTCTTGAAGAGAATGTGAAATATTTTCGCAGTTGCTTCTACATCTGCTTTCATTGCCTCTGCTGGAATGTTGTCTGGTCCTGCTGCTTTGCCACTCTTGATTTGTCTGATGGCCATACTGATCTCCTCAATCGTAGGTGCGCCAATATTAATTGGGAGATCCGTGGATGCTGCTTCGATGTTGGGTGGGTTCAGTGGAGCTGGTCGATTCAGGAGTTCCTTGAAGTGCTCTACCCATCTATTTCGCTGTTCTTCAGTGTTATTAACCGCTCTAATCATCAACAAATAAGAAGGATGGCGTTATCTGTGTCTTGAAAATCTCACGACGTGGACTGAAAAAGTCTGGACACTTGAAATTGTACCTTGTACACTCTTGTTTCAGGCCAGCATATAATTGATGTTTAATTTAGACACTCCCTTTCTTTGCAAGACCAAGTCTTTCCATCTTATCTTTTATTCTGTCTGTTTACAATGAATTAAATTGGTTTTTCATAAGTCCAGTTGAAATCGAAGAATACTGTGTGGCCAGTCAGATAGCTACCGTAGGCTGCTGCTAGTCCTGAGGTATCACTTGTGGATTCTTTAATTGGGAGTGTTTCTTACTAAATGGGCTTCATTATTGAGTTGGTGAAGATAGGGTTTGACTTTACTATGAGATCTAGTTAGTATTATTTTTCTGGCACTGTAACTTTTGAGTTAGTTAAACTAACTGGTTGGTAACTAGACATAAGCTGTCTCACTGCTCCTTAATAGATGAGGTCGAATATGGTTTTGTTTAACCGCTTTACAAGCAAACAAGGCCAAATAACCGTGAATGATTTTTCAATAATTTGAATGAGGGTTGACAGTCGAACTACGAGTAATCCACCTGATTCCTTCGACTTACTAAAATTAGGTCACTAAGTATTTGGAAGAAACCTTCTAACAGTTTGATCGCTGAGAATATTCTATCTGATTTCCAGTACTAGGTGAAACAAAGTAAGGTACATCGGTATCGGAATCACAATTTACTCAGCGGTCAGTCAAGAAATAGATCATCTAGCTTACGCCACATGAAAGAATCGGGTTGACCATGGTTGACACCATGGCCATGTCTTTCTTGACTTTCTCCGTTTGGGCTACTTAAGAATTGGGTGCTCGAAAAGAGGCTGAGCAGATCTTTTCTCCAACTGTTGTATTTTTACAAATGGTTCGTCCTTCTTTAAAAATAATTAACCGTAATCACTGCTAAATACTCATTATTAACCCTTCACTGTAAAGATAAATAAATCCACGGTGAAGAATACATTTCCTGGTGATTTTGTGGTGTCGAAAGAACAACGAAGTTACACCAAGAAAGTGGGTGAAATAAAAAGCGGCTACATCAAAGATGGCAGCAACACAAACAGAAAGTTGCGCATAATAAGTACCGTTAAACAAATACTGGTAAAATTAGCTATAATAACAAGTTTTTCGAGTATACCAATCGCGTTCTCTTCATGAAAGTATTCCACTACAGACTTATCACAAATACGTCAATATTTTAGTGTTTCAGCTGGTAGTTATATATCTAAAATCAGTCATCCCCATTTTTGCCTGATGAGTGAAGTATTCGGCTCGACAGACATTGTTTTTAAAATCTGAAGCTTGTAGCACATGTAAAATCTTTAAAGTTTATGTACACAAAAGCATACATGTCATCTTATTATTCTAGCAGATTAGGTCTAGATATTTGTCATTAAAGATAGTGAGTTTACTTTCTAAATGTACGTTCAAATTGTATTTTGATAACTTTATTACCTCTGGTACTGGCTTTGTAATGATTATGTGGTTTATGATTACCTTTGACAATACGTTTACTATCCTTGTTTTTTCGTTTTGCCGATGAGGTCGTAAAACGGAGCTTTGTTTGTCCTTGATACCTTAAGGTGGTCATCAGGTAATTTGTAAATGACAGTTTAGTTGTCATAATTTTGTTAGGTAATTTGGCACATACTATTTAGTGAATGTTTGCAATGTTCTGGTTTTTGTTTCTGGTTTATCACTACAGAATTATTGGCTATTCGGAAATCGGTATACTGTTAATTTTATTAACTAATGTTCTGGGAACGGAAATTAGTAGTTATTGTTCGAAATAACTTTTTTACTGCTGAAATGGTCTTATAGATTACGTGCTTTTATCTCAAAGATGGTATCAAACAGTTGGGGCTCCTGACAAAGCATATGTCTATAAACTATGCTTTTGTTAGCATAATACACAGCCTTAGCATACTGCGAATCTGTATTCTGTAGAGTATCATGCTGTTGTGGGAAAAAACTATCCTAGAGTTGGCATCGTTTTTCATTGCTTAATGTGCTCAATGTGCCATGTCATTTTACTCTGTTGTTGTATGAACTAGATACTAACAAACAATATCAGGAAAGCAAGAACTATGAACATTTTTCAAGATGTAATTGTGTTGGTTCTAATTAAGAGATTGAAAGTTTCGTTTAAATGAATAGGAATTTTGGGGCAGATTCAGGGGAAAAATCAAAGGTTCGACATAAATTTTGTGAAAAATCATGCATTCAACGACGGCTGAAAGGCGACGTGAAGGAGAAATATCTCTCCCGACGACAGTAAAAAATACGACTCTTTCTATTATACCGTTTGTTAATTTTATATCGTGCTTACATTGCATGGTCACTGGTCGGTAAATATCTATGGAAAGCTTCTTGTTGATGACTACTCAGTTTTAAACCACTGTGACAATTGCATCTAAAACCTTATCAAAGCCATTCCTTTCAGTCGAATTCTTATTGCTTTTAGTATTTGATGTTAACATCTGACCTTTAAGTATGAATCTTCATCACAATTATGAAGGTTTTTGGGATTACATGTTGTCGAAACATTGTACAATAAAGCGTGGACATTTTGTTTCAGACTCATCAAGGAAACTGGTATTAGGAACCGGAATGTCAGTGAAACTATCTCAGAAAAGGATGGTCTTATTATCCGATCCCAATCCAGGAGACTGGACCGATGGGCAGAACACTTTAGGGATCGGTTCAACTGGCCTTCAGCCACAATTCGTTTGCCCACGATCCCCAGTCATCCTGAATTGCAAATCGACGTAAGTCCCCCAAATCTTTATGAAGTTGAGAAAGCGATAGAAAGTCTGAAGCGAGGTAGAGCAGCAGGTCCTAATATGCTAACCCCTGAGATTTTTAAGGATGGTGGTCCAGTTTTAACAGTTAGATTGACTGAGATCTTAGGTAGAATCCGGGAACTGGACGCACTCCCATATGACTGGTCTCAATCCTTGATTGTCCCAATTTATAAGAAAGGACAAAAGTCTTCTTGTGACAATCACAGGGGAATAAGTCTAACTAATATAGTTTCTAAATTGTTAGTCTTGATAATCCTTAGACGCCTAAGTAGAGTTCGTCAAGAGCAGACTAGAGAAAACCAGGCTGGTTTCAGAATTGGACGTGGCTATATAGACGACATCTTCACACTAAGACAGGTCCTGGAACATAGACACACATTTAGGCTTCCCACAATAGTTGTTTTCCTGGACCTTAGGGCGGCATTTGACTCAGTGGATCATGAGGTTCTGTGGCAGTGTCTGTCATTGAAAGGTGTACCAAAGAAGTACATTAACCTTATACAAGCTCTCTACTCTAAAACTACCGGTCGAGTGAGAGTTTATGGCAAACTGTCATCTGAATTCTCTACTTCAAGTGGTGTCCGTCAGAGATGCCTACTTTCCCCATCCTTGTTTAATTTTATCATAGACATGCTCCTAGAAATAACCTTATCCTTGTCTGAATAATCAGGAGTGGATCTTATACCAGGAGGCTCGCTTATTGACTTATAATATGCCGATGACGTAGTTCTATTTGGTGAAGACGCTGACAACATGCAGTCTTATGACCACTCTAAACAACAATCCAAGCATGTTCGGGATGTGGTTTTCCCCTCCTCGAAATGCGAAATTTCGCTTCAAGATTGACTTGCGTTGGTACCTGAACTAGTGACAGGGAATGAAGCAGTTGTGCGTGTTGACCGCTTCAATTACCTTGGGAGTCTCATGAGTGCTGATGACCTGGTTTGTGACGAAATCTGAGCACAGATACCGAAGGCTCGATTGGCTTTTTCCATGCCGCGTCACAAATGTCGTCGGTTAGATATCCGTTTGTTAACCAAAGGACGAGTTTACTGTGCAGCAGTTCGCTCCGTCTTACTTTATGGCTGTGAAACATGGCTGGTAAGAGTGGAAGATATTCGTAAATTAATAGTATTCGATTGTAGATGTCTCCGAAGGATTGCTCGTGTATCGTGGGACAACCGAGTAATCAATGCTGTCGTTGGGAAGTGAGTGTTAGGTAGGAACGGCAGATGAATAGATGAAGTAGTGGAACTTCATCAGTTGAGGTGGTCGGGACATGTGTTGTGTATGCCTAACCACCGACTGCCTCGTCGAACTATATTTTGCGGTATAGGAATAAGTTGGACGAAATCTAAGACCAAAAGATGGCAAAAATCCATGAAGTCACTGACAAGTGGACTGAGTCATGTTGGTAGCTGTCGACTACGTGGTTGGTGTCCGCGAGATGTTAGTAATCGATGGTTAGAGACCCTTAATGACATGGCTCAAAACCGTTTGCAATGGCGCAGGTGCATTCATTCTTTGTATTCCCTGAAACCCTAGACTTTTTAATTCTTCATCACTTTATATTTTTTAAGTCTATTTCACTACATTCTACTTCTTGAATAACATCTAATCCCAACTTCTCCGACTACTGCTAATACCTCTACCACCTCTACTGCTGTTGGATTTGAATTGACAATTGCATCTCTGTGCTTATGTGGTGTGGCAACATTAACTGGTGTACGTACATACGAAGTTCTACGTTGCTATTGATTGATTGAACATATTGTCCAAAAGGTAGGTGCGTTTCTGCATGTGTTGCTTTGTTGTCCTCCTTCGTGCCTCGGAATGTTGTAAATTTCTCACTATTTAATGATTTGGATGTTAGTGTCAAGTCACAAGCTGCTAATAAAATTCAATTTTTCAGTCTGATATTTGGTTCTTGAAAACAGAAACCTAACTAATTGCTTACGCTAAACCGATAGACGACTCTTGGATTAGCAGGTATCTATGTAGATAAGGATACAATTAGTTATTTCACTCGCATCATTCTCAATATCAAATCAATAATTGATGAGTATCATATCTATACAAAGTGCTTTATGTAATAATCTCACTACAAATTCATGAAAAACGCCACTCCAAGTAGAGATATGCACCCTCCGATTTGTTTGATAACAGTCATAATAGTTCAATTACAGTAAGATTTTAATTTTTTTTTATTTACCTCGGATATAGTCTGTAGTAGTATTGTTAAACTTCCTTCTATGATTACATAACACTTTTATGGGTACAATTTTTATGCTCATATTGTTGCTTCTTTTGTATTATTTGTAGTAAATTAGAAAACTATTATGGAAGAGGAAGATGATTGGAGACAGTGTGCTGAATGGCTAAACAGATGTCAAATTATCCCAGATGACCATCCGGTTTTAGGGCCAGATGGTAATGCTATTCACTTAGTCCAAGCCTTAATGGATGGGGTTGCTTTATGCCATCTTTTAAGCACATTATCAAATCACGAATTAGATATAAGATCGATGAAAGATTTTAGCCATATGCCACAAAATTCTCAGTTTCTATGCTTTCAAAATCTTCGACTATTTACACAATTATGCGAAAAAGAATTTGATATTCCCAGAAATTTACTATTTCAACCTGCTGATATTTATCATGCCAAAAATTTTGGAAAAGCCATAGTGACGTTATCGAAATTATCATGTTCAAGAAGAGCACAGTTAACTGGAATACCGTATGTCCCATTATTTCTCATATCATTTATTTCAAAACATAGTGGTTTTCCACCGGAAAATTCAAAGCTACAATCCACTCATGAATATTATAATAATCTTGAAGAAATTGCTGCTGCAATGTAGATAATAATATCCTGCCGTTGTTTTTATTATTGTCATAATTTATTGTAGGAATAAGTTACCTGACTCCGGAAAACCGAATTACACTCAAATGGAAGAAGAGAATAAAGAAAAACTCTATGATACAGTGGTGTATCAAGGTTCAAAGTCTCGTATAGTAATGTTATATTTTGTTTTGAAACTTTTATTCCATATTGTCAACATAGAATTTGGACTCTGAACCTACAACAGCCCGAGCATACTGTATTCGTGAAATAGTTGATACGGAAAAAAATTACGTAGATGTGTTGAAAATGTTAATTGAGGTAATTCAGAAAGTCGAATAATTTATTTATTAATATCCCAATTTAGAAATACAAGCATCCACTTATTGGAGTTCTTTCGCACAATGAAATCGAAGAGATTTTCAAGTACATTGAGGTAATTACCATCTAGAAGCTAGAAAAAAACTCTTTACACTTGGTTTTAATTATTAATTCTATAAAACATTGATATTATCGTGCTAACATGATTTGGATTTATTTGAAGGATAATTTGAGACAGTTTCCTCTAAACCAGTGAAGCGTCTTGAAATGTAAACATGATCTGTATATCCACTTTATTCTCAAAAAGATACTTTATTTACTCCCAAGTGAAAACGTAATTTTGAAAATTTAAAATTAAGTTGGTTACTGGTACTATTCCAGTTCGCCTACTTTATGTCTTGGAATGATTTTTCTTGCCCATTACCATCTTATATGCTAATCAGCAGAGTACATATGAGAAGACGTTGGTTATTTATCCGTTTCAACTATAACTTAACTCCTAATTCTTAGGTCATACTTTACAGTCATGAATTAATAAAAAGTAAATTGTTGCACAACTTACCCATCCTCCGTGTGCATAGTTCGTAAAAGTTAAGTAAAGACTTCGTATCGGTGCCGAAATTCCATTACTTAGTAACATACAAGTATCCAAATAGAGTTTTCATAGAACTTTCTATTCTGATTGAGAGAGTCTCATTGTTTGTTCACACTATAGTTTCATCATTGCTTCATGAATGAGAGTGGTCCTTATTTTTACCCATTTTCTCAGCCAAAATATAGCACAACAGAGGGTGAATTGACCAGATCTATTGAGTGTAGTTTTCGACATAGATTCCTCCATGTTTTATGAATAATTACTGATTTATTGTGACTCGCGTCTTTGTAAGATTTTCAGTGCTCACAACTCATTACTTCCCAAGACTCTCATTAGTTCATCAACTCAGCTACTGTACAATAAAAATTAAAGAAAAATATATCCCATTCTGATTTAACCCAAAAAATTTTAGATGTTCACCATTTTCCATCTCACTTTTAACCATAATAACTAGTTACATTTTTAAGTGTCGATGCTCATGTCTTCACTTCAGACTTATATTAGTTATTATCAATAACACTACAGAATGATCAATCCATCTCACTGGCCTATATATAGTTCATATTGCTTATCGAACATAAGAGATTTGATTATTATAGTAATAGAGCAGTACATATTATCGAGTATCAAACTAAGTACCTAATATTTCTAAGCTTTAGGCATTCCGTTCCTAGCATATATTAAATTTTGGGAATCTCTTTTGAAATAATTCGATTCTGTATTTAATTTCTAATTTATGTACTCTAAATGTATCTAATCCGTAAGCGTATTATTTTGATATTTATAACATGTTGTTTATTTCTTTTATTATGGATTTAATCAGGAATTACATACTATTCACAGAGAATTTCTAAGTAATCTAAGTTTGGCAACTAGCGCAACTGTGAATTTTCTTAGTTTAAGTGATGTTTTTCTCAAAACTCGAGATAATCTACTAATATATGGAGAATATTGTGGTCATTTGCAACATGCGCAAAATTTAGTCTATGAGATTATGCGAAATGATGTGGAAAAACGTAACAAAATAGAGGTAAGTTATAATGATTAATGTTGTCGATTTCTTTCACTTTGTTTCTGTACGTGTGTGTGTCTACTGCACATCTTGTTTATTTTTATGAGATATCTTGATTTTGGACAAAAGTTACTTAGCATTCTCAGTAATGTTCTCTATACAGTATATTTTTTATTGTTATGTATTTATTGGC